TCCTTCTGTTAGTAAGACCAAAATTGTACGTAATGCTTCACATGCAGTCTTACGAAGGCTTTGTACAATTGCAGTAAGACCTCTGTATTCTTCTAAATTGCAATGAGTCCCAACTTAAAGTCAAAGCGTCATAGAACTGTACAGCATAGAAACAGGCTCTTCAGTCCAACTTGTCCATGCCGACCATATATCCTAGATAAATCTAATCCCATTTGCTAGCATTTGGCCCATATCCCTCTAAACCCTTTCTACTTGTATATTCAACCAGATGCCTTTTAAATTTTGTAATTGTACTAGCCTCTACCCACTTCCTCTGGCAGCTCATTTCATACATGCAGCACCCTCTGTGTGAAAAAGTTGCCCCTTAGGTCCCTTTTAAATCTTTCCCCTCTCACCTTAAACCTATGCCCGCTAAGTTTTGGACTCCCCCACCACGGGGAAAAGACCTCGTCTAGTCACCCTATCCGTGCCCCTCATAATTTTATGAACCTCTATCAGGTCACCCCTCAACCTCAGAATCTCCAGGGAGAACAGCCCCAGCCTATAGCTCTCTCCCCATAGATCAAACCCTCCAACCCTGGCAACATCCTTGTAAATCTTTTCTGAACCCTTTCAAGTTTCACAGCATCCTTCGCATAGCAGGGAGACCAGAATTACTTTCAGTATTCCAAAAGTGACCTAACCAATGTCCTTTACAGCTGTAACATGACCTGTTTAACCTTTGCTCACAGGACAATCCGTCCAAGTTAGGGATTATCCTAGTGAATCTTCCCTGAGATGTTTTCAATGAAATAATATCTTTCCTTAAATGAGGGTCGAAAACTCCTCACAGTACACCAGATGTGGTCTCACCAGCACCTTGTACAGTTGCTGTAAGACTTCCCTACTCATATGCTCCAATAGTTGATTAAGGGGCAACGTTTCATTAGCTTTCCTGATTACCTGCTGTACCTCTGCTAGCTTTCTATATTATGTGCACAAGTACCCCTAAGTCCCTTTGATTTGCAGCTTTCTGCAGTTTTCCTCCGTTTAAATAATATTCAGTTCTTTTGTTCTTCCTTCCAAAATGAACAACTTCACATTTTCCCATATTATTGTCTATTTGCAAATTTTTTGCCCACTTACTTAACTTATCAGTATCCCTCTGAAAACTGTTTGTATCCCTCCTGCAACCTACCTTTCTACATATTTTTGTGTCGTCTGCAAATTTGGCTATAGTACATTCTCTTCTTACTTCCAAATCATTAATGTGCCTTGTAAACAGTTGCAGTTCCAGCAATGATCCGTGTGGAACCCCACTGGTCACGGGTTGCCAACCTGAAAAAAAACCCCTATCACCACTCGCTGTTTCTTGCCCATGGGCCAATTCTCTATCCATGCCAATATACTATCTCCGACACTATGGGCTCCTATCGTATGATTTACAGATTGATAATCAACCTGTCTGACAATGTTATGACCATATTCCTTGGCCATCAAGTCCTGAGGGGAGATTTGAACCTAGAGGTAGGGAGGCTAGCACTGCTCTACAGGACATCTGGATTTTTGCAGAAAGCTCATTAATTAACAAATTCTGAACTGTGGAGAAATCTATCTCCGATTGCACAGTGACTAGCACTCAGGAAGGTCATTCAGCTTTGTGGAGCCAAATTTCTAAAATTATTAACATGGAAACTAGATTCAATGATCTTGAGGAACTGGGCATGTCTGTGAAACAAATAGTATAAATACAGGAATGGGCGGAGGCCATTCATCCCTTGTACTGTTCCACCATTTGATTAAATCATAGCTGTTTGTGTATCTAAATACCTTCCATCCATCCATCTTGGTTCCAAATCTCTTAATACTGTTGGTGAATTACCTCCTGCATTTGTAGTTTATAATCCTTAATTAAGATTGTTCTGTGTGGAGTCATACTGCAATTGCTGCAGGACACCAAAGTGGTCAGTACTAGTTACTGTCAGTTATATGTCATGTTTCGCAGAACATCTAGTTTATTAATATTGAGACATGTAAGTCATGGAGATAATTTTAACCTAAGCCATTGGGAGGGTATCTAGGTATGTCCTAAACAATGTTTACTTCAGTAGAAAGTAAAATCAAGGTGACAATAAAACCATTTCTTTTTCCTATTCGATGAGTTAGGTTAAAATTGCTCCCAATGTGTTAATATAATATTTTACGTGGGTCCCTTCAACCAACTTGCTGTGTGAGCAGTCTTTGCATCATGTGAACTTTTCTTGTCAACCTGTGCCACTACAAGAGGAAACAGCCATATAGTTACACTGTATTTGATCCTGTTTAGCAGCCTTTATCCTTATGTTGCCTGCTAATGTTGCTGAACATTCCTTTATTTTGTGTGGATGCACATTGACTGCAATGTGGTCAGGTTTCATTTGTGTCAGATGAAGCAGGAAAAGCTGGCTGGCTCGGATTCCAAAGAGAAAATGTTTCTGGAAGAGGTAGTGATTGACAACACTTTTGGCGCAGTTATTCTGTATGGGACTAAACTAATCCAGATCAGGAAATGCTCAACGAGGAGAGAAGTGAAAGAGAAAGACGGCAGCTTTTAAAATCTCAAGGCATTTCAACAATTTACTGTCAATTGCACACAGTAAAATCCCACATACTGTAGTGAGATTAGGAGCAATTAATTTGTTTTGGCTATGCATTGAGAGCTCTAAGCCAAGCCAAGAAGGAGAAGTTTTGAATAGCAAGGCGGGATCATCTGAGGAGGAAAATGGGTCCTGAATTTAATGTCAAACCTGAAAGCTGGCACTTCTGTCTGTTCTACATTCCGTCAGTGCTACACTGGAGTAGCTTGAATTTGTAACCTTCTGACACAGAGACAGGAATGCCTAGATACCTTGTACTCTATTGACTCTACCCCTCAGCTGTGACTTTGGACACAAAGGCAATAGTTTGAGATTCTCAGGTTTGGAACTAGAAGTGCTTCAAAGGAAAGGAAAGTACTTTCGAAGATATTTGAATGACAATTAGTCTCACTCCCCTGCTCTTTCGACATAGCTATGCAAGTTTTCACTTTTCAAGTGTAATGACAAGCCTTAACAAGTTTTACCTTAATGAGTACAAAATTCCCAGACTACATGCTGGGGAAAACAAAACTGAATGTCTCTATCTCCCAATATATTCATCTATTGCTTCAGTAATGCAGCCTTTGTTTTGATCTTGGGCACTTCGGTTCATCATTATCCATTCATAGGGTGTAGATGTTGTTGACCAGACCGACATTTGTGGCCCATCCTAATTGCCTTTCAGAAGATGATGGTAAACTGCCTTTTTGAACCATTGTAGCCCATATTGTATAGATGCACCCACAGTGCTATTAGGAAGGGAATTCCAGTATTTTGGCTCAGTTTTGTTGATGGAATGTCAATATAATTCCCAGTCGTGACTATGTGTGACTTGGACCGGAGCTTGCAGGTCCTGATGTTTTTATACATCTACTGCCCTTGTCCTTCTGAGTGACTGAGGCCGCAGGATTGGAAAGTAATGTTGGAAGGTGAGTTGTTGCAGTGTATCCCATAAGTGCATGGCCTAGTGGTGATGTTTGCTGCAGCTGCTCATAGCTACTCCTGCAAGGAGATCTGCTCCATGGTACGCTATGCCTATCAGTCTTTGCTATCCTCACACATTCACTGGAGCTCGTCTTTAACCGCTTTGTGATATCCATCATCCAAATATGCATGGGTCGATCCCTTTCTCTGCTGCCCCCACTTTGTCTTCCAGTAAAGATCTTTGCCATCTGGAAGAGACGCTAGTGATGGAGAGGATGAATATTTAAAGGAATAGATGGACTTTGTTGAGCTCCGTTATCCAATTGATTTGAAGATCCACAAACTAAGCATTTGTAAATTAATTTGTAACAGAAACACTGAGCCAACTCAAGTTGATAGGCCTGCAGAATTATTTTTATGTGTGTATTCCTTCGCATCCTCTGTTGCCAGAGTCACAGTGGCCAATACAGGTGGTAATGCCTCTATTATTGCCCCAATTAAAGTGTACTGATCATGGGAATTTGCTGTTGTTGTACTGCTCAGCAAGTGGTTTAGTTTGGGAGCATTGAGAAGTTCTTATTTATGCCCATAGGCCTCATGTATGATCAGTGATCAGGAGAAATTTGGGATGACTTGCATCAGGTAGAAACATAATGAATGCTTTAATAAAAACAGAAAGTGCTGGAGCAACTCAGAGTGTCTGGCAGCATCTGTGGAGAGAGAGAGAGACAAGGTTAAAGTTTCAAGTCCAATGACTCTTGATTAGTCCCAAAGAAGAATCATATTGAACTTCGATTTTTCAGTCTACTGTCAGACCTGCTGTTTCTCCAGCACTTCCAGTGTCCTCAGTTTTTAGCTTTTATAATGAATGCTTTGCCAGTTAGCTCCTTCCAAAAAAGAGAATTGAACAATTCCTGCTGCTGAGAGTGATTGTCGGCAGAAGAGATGAGGCAAATATAGTTATTCAAGCATTCAATGTAGCACTAGGGGTCCAATTTAGTTGTATTCCCAATTCTTCCCACCCCCACACTCCCAACACAACTGTGTGCAGCAGAGTCTCTAGCTCCCTTGATTCTACTATCTCGAGCTCTCAGAAACTCCTTCACCTTTACTTTTCTCTGTCCTCCCCAATTTATACCTTTCTGATTAGGCTTTCGCCCCCTAAAATTGCTCAGTGTGAGGTTTCCTTGAAGATCTGTATAGCTCATTTCTACACTAGGCATTGTGTCTTCCAACTAACCCATGAGGATTCGAATATTTCACTTTAATCTAGAAAATTAACAGCTAAAAATCTTTGTTAAATGTTCTTGCTGGAAGCAGTCACTTTAATATTTCAGGGTTTCACAAACAGCGAAAGGAAATACTATAATTAGAAATTGAAAGTACAACAGTAATAACTGGAGTGTGGTTGAAACTAAAGGCAGTTCAGACCCTGGAGCCAGGCCTTGCATAGCTAATGGTTTTTGTTTTGTTTTTTTAAAATGTAAAAACACAGACAGGCCTGAAAATATTCAATACCAGCAATGAAGAATCTTGTATAGTCTGATTGCCAAGTAGACAGTAAGTATTAATCGTTTGAGCTTTGGAGCGGGTTTAAAAGTTACAATAGGGGGTCGATGGCTAGGTTTATAAAGTTCTTGCATTGTAAGCAAAACATTTTATTTTGTTTGAAGGCCATTGAATTTCTTCGGTGGAGTGTGGGCATTTACTGCTCATCTCTAATTACCCTTGAGAATGTGGTGGTGAGACGTTCTTTAGCCATTGCAATTCATTGTTTATCATACCATTTAAGAGACAGAATCCATTATCCCTGAGCAACTGAGAACTGGCTCCCTGCCAATTGTGGTTAACCCATTTTTGTCAGCAAAAATGTTTATTTCTGAATTCAGAAATCTTGATTCGAAAGCCCAAAGTTTAGGTTGTATAGAGTTGTAAAGAAGAGGGAACAACCAGTAGTTGTTAAATAAGCCAAGCTTAAGTTTTTGATTGTAGAAGGTGTAATTGTGTTTAACTGGCTAAGGAAAGAAATTATCATTGCCTGTGCCTTTGATTCTATTCAAGGCCATGAGTTTCTGCCATGGGTTTTCATATGATTGAACAGGCCGATTCTTGGCCCATAGTTTTGGCCTCATGGAGCAAGACATCCCACAAGGTGGTGGGATCTGGATTGCAGGACCTGCTTCCTTTTCTTTCCTTCTCTGCCACTGTTCCATGTCATCATTGGGACTCAAAGTGTGATGCAGCTTGATTGTTAAGTTCTGAACGATTGGTAGCATGTTCCTTTCCAGGACATTAAGGTCAATGCCCCATGCTTCAAGGGGAGTTTGTGAGGGGCAGGGAAAATTCCATGGTCACTTGTTCAGAAATAACATCTGGTGTGTCTACCAAGCTAGAGATCTGTCAATTTGTTTATTGATGAGTGTAAGACCTGCTTTCATTTTAAGAGCTGAGACATGGAGTTGTTGAAGGTCTTCCTTGAGAATATCATTAAGTTGTTGAAGGAAGGCAAGAATGAGCAAGGTTTCACATGTTTTAGGTTTGGAAAGGAACCAAGTAGCAGTAGGAGGATGTATGATGAGTTTTGCTTTCATTCTGAATCTAGAGACGCATGCTCAAAATCTAATGCTGCACTGAGTAAGTGCTGCATTTTCAAAGGTGTGGTAATTACAATGAGACATTAAACCAAGACTGTCGAGCGCATGTAAAAGATCTCATGGCAGTATGTGGAGCAATGACGGAGGAGATATTTATCCCTCAGCCAACATCATTAAAACATGCACAATATCTATTTATCATGAGGCCATAAGAAATAGGAACAGGAGTAAGCCATTCGGCTCTCCAGCTTGCTTCACCATTCAATAAGATCATGGCTGATACATATTACTCACATCCATTTTCCTGCCCTTTACACATAACCCTTGATTCTCCTATTGATCAAGAATCTATCTATCTCTGCCTTAAACACACACAAGGATTCTGCTGTTACAACTCTTAAGACTGAACCCTTTGAGAGAAGAAATTCCTTCTCATCTCAGTCTTAAATTGGTGCCCCTTAATTCTAAGACTATGTCCTCTAGTCCTAGACTCTCCCATGAGGGAAAACATCCTCTCAGCATTTACCCTGTTGAGCCCCTTAAGAATTCTATGTTTCAACGAGATCATCTCTCATTCTTCTAAATTCCAATAAGTTGGGTCCCAACCTGTTTAACCTTTGCTAATAAGACACTCTGTCCACACCGACAATCATCCTCGTGAATCTTCTCTGAGTTGCCTCCAATAAATAATATCTTTACTTAAATAAGGGAACCAAAATTGCTCACAGTGCTCCAGATGTGCTCTCACTAAAACTTTCTACAGTTGCAGTAAGACTTCCCTACTCTTACAGATCAAAACCCTTGAAATAAGTGCAGCACGGTGGCTCAGTGGTTAGCACTGCTGCCTCACAGCGCCAGGGATCCGGGTTCGATTACCACCCTCAGGTGACTGGCTGTGTGGAGTTTGTACATTCTCCCCATGTCTGCATGGGTTTCCACTCAATGCTCTGGTTTCCTCCCACGGTCCAAAGATGTGCAGATTAGGTGGATTGGCCATGCTAAATTGTCCATAGTGTTCAGGGATGTTTAGGTTAGGTGCATTAGCCATGGGAAATGCAGGGTTACAGGGAGAGGGTAAGGGGATGGGTCTGGGTGGGATGCTCTTCAAGTCCAAGGTGTGGACTTGTTGGGCCAAATGGCCTGTTTCCACACTGTACGGTTTCTAAAGGGTGAATATTCCTTTAGCTTTCCTGATTAATCGCTGCACCAGTGTGCTAGTTTTCTGTGCTTTGTGCACAAGTACCCCCAAGCCTGTTGCAACTTTCTGCTGTTTTTCTCCATTTAAATACTGCTTTGTTCTTTTGTTCTCACATCCAAAATGAACAACTTCATATTTCCCACATTATACTCCATGAGTGAGTGACTCATTTCCTGACTCTCCAAAGCCTGTCCACCATCTACAAGACACAAGTCAGGAGTGTGATGGAATACTCCCTACTTGCCTGGATGGGTGCAGCTCCAACAACACTCAAGAAGCTTGACACCGTCCAGGACAAAGCAGCCCACTTGACTGGGACCACGCCTGCAAGTGTCCCCTCCCTTCACCACTGATGCTCAGTAGCAGCAGTGTGTACTATCTACAAGATGCACTGGAGAGATTCATCAAAGCTCCTTAGACAGCACCTTCCAAACCAACAACCACTCCATCCAGAAGGACAAGGGCAGCAGATGCACGGGAACACCACTACCTTCAAGGTCACCTCCAAACCACTCACTATCCTGACTTGGAAATATATCACCATTTCTTTACTGTTGCTCGGTCAAAATCCTGGAGTTCCCCTGCTATGGGCAATGTGGGTCCACCTACAACATGTTGTAGTTCAAGAAGGCAGCTCTACACCACCTTCTCAAGGACAACTAAGGACACACAACAAATGCTGGCCAGCCAGCAACACCCACATCATGCGAGTGAATACAGGAGAGGCGATGGCCTAGTGGTATTATCGCTGGACTGTTAATCCAGTGACCCAGATAATGTTCTGGGGACCCTGGTTTGAATCCTGCTATGGCAGATGGTAGAATTTGAATTCAATAAATATCTGGAATTTATGAATCTAATGATGACCATGAATCTATTGTCGATTCTCAGGAAAAACCCATTTGGTTCACTAATGCCCTTTAGGGAAGGAAACTGCCATCCTTATCTGGTCTGGCTTATATGTGACTCCAGACCCGCAGCAATGTAGTTGACTCTGAATTGGCCTCTGGGTAATTATGGATGGGCAATAAATGCTCCCTAGCCAGCGACGCCCTCATCCCATGAATGAATAAAAAAAAATTTTAAAAATTGCCAACTCTTTTTGCCCACTTACTTGAACTATCAATTTCTCTCTATAAGCTGTCTGTATTGCTCTTGCAACTTGCCAGTCCATCTATTTTTGTGTCATCTGCAAATTTAGCTACAGTACATTCACTTCCTTCCTTTAAGTTATTACTTTATATTGAAAACAATTGTAGTCCCAGCACTGATCCCTGTGGAACCTTACTCTCATTGTTGAATCTGGTAGTTCGCTGTCCACAAAGTACTATGGGTCTTCCTTTACTTTTGTGTTTTTTTCCCTTCTTGGGTTTTGAGCATCATTGGCTAGGCCATATGGGTGATGAGTTACCTTGACAGAGCATAGCCATCCATCTAATTTAAGTACACTCACAGTGCTATGTGGGAGGGAATTCCAGGATACTGAGACAGAAACAGTGAAGGAACTACAGTTTGGTTCCAAATCAGGATGGTTTATTACTTTGAGGGAAACTTGAAGGTATTTATGCTTCCCCTGTAATCCCTGCAGTGTGGAAACAGGCCATATGGCCCAACAAGTCCACACTGCCCCTCCGAAGAGCATCCCACCACCCTTCCCCTGTAACACTGCGTTTCCCTTGGCTGATCCACCTAGCCTACACATCCCTGGACACTTTGGGCAATTTAACATGGCCAATCCACCTAACCTGCACATCTTTGGACTGTGGGAGGAAACCAGAGCACAGCAGAAACAGGGAGAATCTGCAAACACTACACAGACAGTCGCCTGAAAGTGGAATTGAACCTGGGTCCCTGGCGCTATGAGGCAGCAGTGCTAACTGCTGAGCCACCGTGCCATCCCTACTTTTAGGGAGTAGAGCCCATGGGTTTAAAAGGTGTGGTCAAAGAATCCTAAGGAATTTCTGCAGTGGATCTTGCAGTAAACAACTACATTTCAAGTACAGTACTTGATAGCATGAAGTGATTTGGTCAGTCCTTGGGGTTTGGAAGATGCTATGTAAATGCAAGTCTTTCTGTTTTGATTACATGTATATGACAAGTAGGAAAGTGATATATCTCACCTCACCTTTAACAGGTCCCTGTTGACCTGCTGCTATGGATTCATTCAACTATGAAGACGACATCAGTATTTTAACACAAGATGGGCAGCAGGATGATACAGAGTGGGCTGATGCATCTAATACAGACCTGACAGTTGAGGAATACTCCGCATCCCACTACGCACTCATCACAGCCTACAATGATATCAAACAGCGATTGATCAGCATGGAGAGAGATAACTCCACCTTGAAGAGGAAGCTCAGACAATACGATCTCAAGGTAAAGCCCTCAGCATCAGGTTCCATTCTTTGGAAACCATGGGAACTGAATTAAGAACTGCCTTGCCTTGGAAATTGATGTTGAGTTTTAAAGTTAGTTCAATTCAGGGTACAGAAGGGTACAGCCCTGCTTTAATGAGGGAGAGGAAAAAAATCAAGTCTTTTTGTGCTTTAGGGAATGTTGAGCCAGTTTAGTCTCAGTAAGAGATTTGGAAGTTTAGATCAAAACACATATTCCACGGACGTTAATGTGCTGATTTACCGGAAATTTAATGCAGGTGTTAGCTGTAACATTGCATAGTCACACTTTCACTCTTCCATGTAAAGGTCTTTAACAGAATATGATGAAAGTGAGCCTTGCACCTGATGTCAAAACATTCCTTTGTTAACATATCCGACTGATAAAGACGGAATATACCGAGATAGAGTGGAAATTATAGGCATCCCGGGTGGGTTGTGCCCATACCTAAATATATCATTGTGTCAGTGAATAGGTTACTGTGTGATTGTGTGAAATTGGGTCACACTTCATCCATCTGAGAGATGAGGGAAGCCCAGGCAGTGTGCGCATGTGAGCATTTCAGATCTATTTCAATTTATTGAGAGATTGGGAGGTGGGGAGATGAGACTTGATAGTAATTAGAGATTGGAAACTGGCAATCAAAACCCAAAACTGAAATGTGTAATTTACAAATGCATTTGTATTAAAATAGAAACAGATGCTAATAGCTCCAGTTATGCAACAGTGGATCAGAACAATTAATAATTATTCCAGTCCAGCTTCAGTAAGATGTAGAGCAGGAGTAGGCCATTCAGCCCATCATGTCTGCTCTGCCATTCAATGAGATCACAGGTAATCTGATAATCCTCAACTCCACTCTTCAGCTTTTTCCCCATAATCCTTGATTCAATTACTGATTAAAAATCTGTCTACCTCAGCCTTAAATATTTCTAACACTCCTTACCTTTACAGTCCTTTGCTAAAGAATTCCATGGATTCACTGCCCTTTGAGAGAAGAAATCCCTCCTCATCTCTATTTTAAACGTATTCTGAGATTATGCCCTCCAGTCCTAAACTCTTAAACATCTACCCTGTCAAGTCCCTTAAGAATCTTTATATGTTTCAATAAGGTCACCTCTCATTCTTCTAAATTTCAATGAGTACAGGCCCGACTTACTCAACCTTTCCTCAAAAGATAGTCCCTGCACACCTGTTATTGGGCTAGTGAACCTTCTCTGAGCTATCTCCAATGCCCATTTATCTTTATTTAGATAAGGGGCCCAAAACTTTTCATGTCATTCCAGCTTGATCAGAATAGTATAGTTTATAATATATGGCCAGTATATTTTAGGAATGTACATCATTAACGTTTTGGGTCCGGTATGATGACTCTTCAGGGGAAGTTCAGATCTGTTCTGAAGAAGAGTCATACCGAACTCAAAACATTAACACTGTTTCACTCTCCACAGATGCTGCCGGATCTGCTGAATTTCTGCAGCTTCCTCACTGTTTGTTTCAGATTTCCAACATCCACTGTAATTTGCTATGATTGCTCCTAAATACATTCTTGTATATTTATTCTGGCCACTTCATTAGCACACTAATCCATAAGTGTCTGTCCAAGCTATAAATGACCCAATTTTAAAATTCTCATTGTCATGTTCAAATCCCTCCATTATCTTGCCTCTCCTTATGTCTGTAAACTACCTGTAGCTCGAAGGTAAATCAGAGATATCAAATATACAATACTCTGTTCTTGTATTCCCTCCTTACGCCCCTCCACCTCTCCTACTCATTCTCCTTTAAAGTCATCTTTAAGACTCACCACTTCAAAAAAGATGTCATAACATGACTTAGAAAGAGTCATAAAGTCATAGAGTCATACAGCATAGAAACAGACCCTTCAGTCCAAACAGTCCACACCGACTATGTTCCCAAACAAAACTAGCCTCTCCTGCCTGCACTTGGCACATATCCCCTCAAACCTTTCCTATTCATGAACTTACCCAAATGTCTTTTGAATGTTGTAACTGTACCCGCATCCATCACTTTCTCTGGCAGATCATTCTACGCACTTTTTACACTGTCTGTGTAAAAAAGTTACCCCTCATTTCCTTTTTTAATCTTTCTCCTCTCACCTTAAAAATATACACCCTAGGTTGAAATCCCCCATCCTACAGAAAAGACCCTTGTCATTCACCTTATCTATGCCTCTCATGATTTTATAAACCTTAATAAGGTCACCCTCAACCTCCTATATTCCAGTGAAAATGTCCCAGCCTTCCGGTCTATTTTTATATCTCAAACCCTCCATTCCCGGCAATATCCTGGTAAATCATTTCTGAACTCTCTCCAGTTTAATAATATCCTTCCTATATCCGACCTGAACTGTACACAGTATTCCAGAAGAGACATTAGGACAGGTTTTAAGAAGGACATGGAAAGTAAGAGGGATTCAAAGAAAGAATTCCAGAGCTAATTAAATGGATAAAGACACAGTGCCAGTAGTAGGGCCACATAGAATACATAATTGGAGGATCGCACAGTTTCCTGAACGTTATGTGAGCTACAGGTAGTTTACAGACATAAGGAGAGGCAAGATCATGGAGGGATTTGAACAAGACAATGAGAATTTTAAAATTGGGTCATTTATAGATTGGACAGACACTTATGGATTAGTGTGCTAATGAAGTGGCCAGAATAAATATACAAGAATGTATTTAGGAGCAATCATAGCAAATTACAGTGGATGTTGGAAATCTGAAACAAACAGTGAGGAAGCTGCAGAAATTCAGCAGATCTGGCAGCATCTGTGGAGAGTGAAACAGTGTTAATGGTTTCTAACTGTGCTGGATCTTTATTTACAAAGTTATACACAAAGCTTAAAATGTCTACACCCTCATGCTTTTAGCAGCTTCCAACTTCTTTTGTACAGTCTGTTTACTTTGCTCTGAGTCAATAATCCAGGCTTAACCAATCAAGCTCAGTGAGCATGGGTCAGTTATCAAATTAACATAATCAAACATAGACCAGCTGAATCAAAAACAGAATGTACTGTGCAAATTCAGCAGATCAACAGACCAAATGAACACCACACGGTTGCCTAAACAGCCAATGTGGTGAAAAAGAGGTGGGGCTGTTTGAAATGACTCCACAGAGGCTGATTTCCCATTACCAAGTCACCCTTTATTTACATGTGGTGAGTTCTTGACACTGATTCAGCTCCCTCAAAGCCAGCAGTCAAAGTGAACAGAATTGTCTGACTCTCCTGTTCTTATCTGTGAGCCAGGGCTCCCTGATTGGACCAGACTTACAGTCTCAATCAGGGAACTCATATTCTATGAGGTCGACCTGGCTGACCTCATTACAATCACTGCAGGGATTATGTTTAATTGGCTAGTGTCAGATCAAAGGAGATTGGGACAGGAGAAAGGTTTTAGGGATGGATATTTTTCTTTCTAATTTGTTTATATGATGTGAGCATCATTGGAAAGGCCAGCATTTGATGGCCTAAACTGCCTTGAGATGAATGGTTTGCTAGGTCATTTCAGAGGGCAGTTAAGAGTCAACTACATTTCTGTCACTCTGGAGTCACACATGGGCTAGACTAGGTAAAATAATTAAAGATTTACTTCCCTATATAATATTAGCGAAACAGTTCTGGTTTTGCATCAATCGATTATAGTTTCATGGACACCATTATTGAAACTGGCTTTTAATCTCAGAATTCATTAAAAGTGCCTTTGTGGGATTTGAACCCAGTCCTTCAGAGCATTGGCCTGAACCTTTGGATTATAAGACCATAAGAAATAGGAACAGGAGTAGGGCGCTTGGCCCCTCAAGATTGCTCCACCATTCAGTAGAATCATGGCGTTTTCCTTGATTAGTAAAAATCCTGTCATATTGACAATATGCCACCGCTTCCCCCATGGAAGGTCAATCCTTGTCTTTGACACCAACAGCTCCATTAATTAAGATTGTTGGTAACGGTGTTACAAGTATGTGATTGAGTTGCACATATTAACTGTTCTAAAATGAACAGCTCCTCATGGCGTAAGATCCATCTGGTAGATTTGCTACCACTGTCCCCTTCCTATTGGGGAGCTACAGAACTCTGTTGGCCTAGCATGGCCAAGGAAAACCACTCAGTAGCCACAAGAAGAGGCTTTTGTCTTAAATAAGATGCAGTTTATTGCATGAAAGCAATGACACACAAAATACATTTGGATGATAGACTTTGTCACAAAGACTTGATAGGAGGCCTCAATATTATTATTTCGAGACTCAAAAGCTGTTCCCCCAACCAAGTCCATATGATAGCATTAAATGTGACAGTGGTCAATACGCTCTTTAGCACTAACCCTTGAAACCTTTACACACTAGGAAGATCTTTGCTCCTTCCTGGGCTAGTTATTCTAAGCCTAGGGACAAGATGCAGTCAGCATGGCTGGGCCAGGAGAGACAGAAGGAATAAATGAAACACAGTGCCCACATCTGATTGCTATAGAGTGACCCTTGCTGAATTAGGTACATGCACCTGGGAATGAGATATGCATGGACCAGACAAGGGAGAAGTAAACTGGAGTTGGCGTCTGGAGGAAACAATACTGAAGGCCACACGTAGTCTTTGGAATTCTTTACCCTTCAGGCCAGTGGAATCTCATTTGTTAAGTCATAGAGTTTTATTATATGACTGAAGGAGACCATTCAGCCCAATCAGTCTATCCCAGCAAACAACGAACATCTTCAGGGGTCTAAACTCGAAACCTAGGAGAGGAAAGGCGGGAAACTCAGCTCAAATACTGTGTACGACCAAAGTTTTTCATCCTTGGTTACACTGAGATTAGACCCACTGGAGCCCTCTGTCACTAATCTTTGCCGAGTCTTGGGAAGATATTCCGTTTGCTTGGATCCAAAGGTTGGGAAAGTGCCATTAGGGATGAAATGAATGAAGTACGTTCTCATTGAAATGCAGAAAATTCTGACTGGACTGGACAGGCTACATATAGGGATGGTGTTACCCCAGTTGGGGGGATCCAAAACAAGGGGACAGGGTCTCAAGATACCCGGTAGGCCCTTGTAGACTGGGATGAGGAGAAATTGCTCACTGAGAGGGTGGTGAAATTGTGGACATCTTTACCACAAAAGGCTATAGAGACACTGCTAGAGGTTGAGGGTTCCAGGGGCATGGGAGAGAGGGAATGTATGGCGTTGAGATACAGGATCAGCCATGGTGACGTTGAATGGCAGGGTGGGCTCAATGGGCTGAATGGCCTCCTCCTGCTTCGATTTTCTTGTGTTTCTCTGATGCTGCCTGCCATGTGCCAGGAAACTGGAACATTTCATCAGTCTGTAGGATTGGGGGCAATTAGTGTAGTCTGCTGCCCACATTCTGAAACATTCAAGATGGAGGTTGATACATTGTTGGATATTATAGTGATCAGGTGGATAAGTGAAGTTGAGTCTGAAGATCAACCATGATGTTGTCGAATGGCAGTACAATGGGGCTGAGTGGTTTCCTTCTGCTCCTAGATTCTTATGTTCTAATGGTGCCATCGCTAACTCTGTTCCCTTCCCTTCTCTTTACCATTGTGCTTCATTTCCCAGTTTTCCTTGTCAAATGAGCTTGTGGATGATAAGAAATTGCCCCAGTCCTTGCTTGACATTACTTTGCTGCGAAATGAGAACACTCGGCTGAGGGAGCAGCTGGAGCACTTCAGAAACCAGGTTTGAATCTTGTTTGAATTCCTCAAATGCGTTTCTCCTCCTCTTTCTCACAAAGCCTTGCCTGCCTTTGCATATTGACCCAATAAGTAACTAAACCTTATTGATCCCAGGAAGGCTACCCATTCAACCCCAGGCTTGTGCTTCTTTTCCATGAGGTCAGTGGGAATTGGGGTAGGTCCCAGTTCTTCAGGAAGGCGAAAGATTAGCCATGATCACTGGTTTTGACTGCTGTGCAGCAGCGCCCCCGGAAGCTTCACTGGTGATAACAGGATTGAGTCCATCTGGGGGATAGTAAGACCTGCCGATGCTGGAATCTGAGATAACACAGTGTGGAGCTTGATGAACTCAGCAGGCCAGGCAGCATCAGAGGAGCAGGAAGGTTGATGTTTCGGGTCGGGACCCTTCTTCACATAGTTTATCCAGGCCCAGTTATTTTCAGGGGGAAGTAAAAACCACTGCCAACTGAAGAAGGGTCCCGACCCGAAACGTCACCTTTCCTGCTCCTCTGATGCTGCCTGGCCTGCTGTGCTCCTCCAGCTCCACGCTGTTAGCTTTGAGTCCAGCTTTTGCTGTGGAATAGTTTGACCCTCACCACCAAAGCTGCTGGGAACATCGGTCACTTTGATAGGATACACCTGAGTTGCTGGGAATCTCATGAACAAAGAACCAACAGCTTCAGGTATGTAAACCTAACAAAAGAAAGTCAGGACACCCGTCTCAAATACTCTGTACAACTAAAGCCCTGATGCTGTGATCATTGGCTACATGGGATTGTTCCCAATAATGCCCTCCAACATGAATTTTGGTGGGCGTCGGCACAAGAACTAGGAGCAGGAGTAGGTCATTCAGCCCTCTTGAACCTGCTCCACCATTCAATAGATCATGGCTGATCATCCAATTCAGAACCCAGTCCCCACTTTCTCCCTATATATCCTTTAGCCCTGAGAACTATATCTAACCTCTCGAAATCAGATGACTTTTTGGTGAAACTATACTTTTTTTCACATAAACTGTTTATATTTTTGTTTAGATTGAATTTCTGAATTAATGGGCGAAGGTTTAGATGGAGTGGAAGCCCAAATGCTATAAATTTAAATTCCATTGGTTTTAACAGTCTCTCTCAGGCCAGAAAGTGTGACGAGCATACAGACTGGTAAAGAAAACTGGAACCCACTGACTAACAGCACTGTGGGAGTCCTTGCACCCCGTGCTATATATTGATTCATGAAAGCAGTTCACTACCAACTTCTCGAGGGTAATTAGGGACAGGCAAAAAACACTGGCTTTGACAGTAACACAAACATCCCCAAAAAAGAACATTTCTAAAAAGTGCTCACTTCAAATGGCATATGAAGGCAATAAGACTGGAACTCCTGGATTCAATAGTTTTGTATAACAAGCATACTCCCCTCTGAGCCAGTTAGATTCCCTCATGTCTCTCATCAATTAAACACTTGTTTTTAATTAATTTTCAGCTTCGAGACTGTAAAGAAAGGGAGGATCACCTGGATGAGGTCATTAAAGCTTATGAGAAAATACGTTCTGAGAAAGATGACCTACATCAGCAATTGGAAGAAATGGTATGTGTTTAATATAATATTACAACTGATTTCTGCTGTTGATCTTTGACATTTTCCTGTTGTCTGAAAATGAATTGGTGCTTGTCAGAATAATATGACTGAGGAAGAGGATAGAATAATAAGTCATGGCAGTCAAGTGATGTTCTACACATTGACTTCTACCTCACCTACTGTTTAAAAAAATTGAAGGTTCATTGGATTAAAGGACTGTTATTACATTGAATAAGTCACTGGTTAAATTAGTTTAAGCACTGGTCTGTTATTAATTACAGCAGATTTTATTGGCACCCTTTAAAAACAGATTATTCTCAGGAAGTTAGCCATTTGGAAACAAAATTGGCTTGAAATCAGGAGACAGGGCGTGATGGTGGAGAGTTGGTTTTCAGACTGGAGGGCCCTGAACAGCGGTGGGTCACAAGGATCAGTGCTGGGTCTACTGCTTTTTGTAATTTATATAAATGATCTGGATTTGAATATAGGAGGAATGTTTAGTAGGTTTGCAGATGACACCAAAGTTGGTGGTTTAGTGGACAATGGAGAAGGTTATCTCAGAGTACAATAGGACCCTGATCAGATGGGCCAAGGAGTGGCAGATGGAGTTTAATTTAGATAAATGTGTGGTGTTGTATTCAGGAAAAGCAAATCAGAGCAAAACTTATACACTTAATGGTAGGGTCCTAGGGAATGTTGCTGAGCAGAGAGGCCGGGGAGTGTTGCTGAACAAAGAGGCCTTGGAGTGCAGGTTCACAGTTCCTTGAAAGTGGAGTCACATGTGGGCAGGATAGTGAAGAATGCATTTGGTACACTTGCCTTTTTTGGTCAGTGCATTGAGTACAGGAGTTGGGAGGTCATATTGTGGCTGTACATGACATTGGTTAGGCCATTTTTGGAATACTGTGTGCAATCCTAATCTCCCTGCTATAGGAAGAATATTGTGAAACTTGAAAGGGTTCAGAAAAGATTTACAAGGATGTTGCCAGTGTTGGAGGGCTTGATCTGTAGGGAGAGGCTGAATAGGCTGGAGCTATTTTCCCTGGAGTGTTTGAGGTTGAGGGGTGACCTTATAGAGGTTTATAAAATAATGAGGGGCATGGATGGGGTGAATAGCCAAAGTGTTTTTCCCAGGATAGGGATATCCAAAACTAGAGGGCTTACATTTAAGGTGAGAAACGAAAGATTTAAAAGGGACCTAAGGGGCAATCGTCTGTGTGGAGTCTGCACATTCTTTCCGTGTCTGTGTGGGTTTCCTTTGGTCTCTCTGGTTTCTTCCCACTGTCCAAAGATGTGCTGATTATGTGGATTGGCCATGCTAAATTTCTCATGGTGTGCAGGGATGTGCAGGCTAAGTGCGTTAGCCATGGTAAATGCAGGACTACAGGGATGGTGTAGTTCTGGGTGGGATGTTCTTTGGAGGGTCGGTATGGACTCAGTGGGGCAAATGGCTTGCTTCCGCACTGTAGGGTTTCAATGATCATCTGCTTCAAATGTCTCCAAATATGCAAAGTCTTCTATGTCTAAGGAGAGCCAAATGTAGTGGCAGCTAACTTGGTCCAGACAATTTGGGAACTTCCTAGTATGTTCTACATAGCTTGTCAGCAGGCAGTTCTTTAATAAGTGAGGGGATACTTCAAGAAGCAGTTTCAACTCATTATTCACCTCTGTAGTGTAGTGTTTCTGTGGCTAATTCCGGTCTCATTGGAGCCACTTTGTTGGAAATCATAGGCTCACAGCCAACCTCCAGATGAATGGGCAGAAAATCACAGTGGCTGTACTGCTTGCTGGGCACCTAGAATTGGCCCTTATTTATTGGCAATGCTTTAACGTGGTTTGAAGTGTTTAATTTTGAGTGTGTGCTGTGTACAAACGTAAAATTTTACTGAATAAGAATGTGCTAAAAAAGATTAGGCAGTTATTTTCTTATAGCTTTAGATGTCAGTGAGTAGTTCAAATTAGTCCTGGGAAGAATTGTAAAGATATTGCGGTATTGACCGTATTCCTCAGGTGAAGTTTGATGTTTTCATTTGGATTTAAAGCTGAGGCTTGACATATGTAAACATGTGGAATGAGTAATATCCGATTATATTGATCAGATATTAATATCTCATCAAACAAACATACGACAATAACGGCTATTACTGCCAATGAGCTCCGGTTGTAGGAATGATTTCATGTGGCGTCCAGTCTGCACTGTATAGTGGTTATGATTTTGAGGTCCAGCATTGCCATGGCAACCTGGGCAATTTGTGAGCCAGCATCAAACAAATGATCGAGTGACTCAATAAATGTTCTTCTGTGAACAAGGCCCTGTCATCCCTGTAATAAAAGCAAAATACTGCGGATGCTGGAAATTTGAAATACAAACCGATAGTGCTGGAGAAACCCAGCAGGTCTGGTCCATCTGTGGAGAAAGAAACAGATATGACTGTTCTTTGGAAATGTTAACTCTGAGTTTCTCCAGCACTTTCTGATTTTAATCCTGTCAACCCTCCCTGGTCTAGCCAACATGTGACTCCCTTCAATGCCCTTTGACTTTGGTCAATTGTGAAAAGAAAACCATTACGATTTGGGTTCCCAGCTCTGACTGGACATATTCCTGAAGTTTTCATCACTTGACAGCCTGTCTCCAAGCACCCACCCCACATTCTTGCCATACGTCGCCCAATATTGTCCATTCTTATGCACGCTGCCTTCCTAGACCAATCATGAAGTGAGTAAATTCTCCGTTATTCAATTGGATAATACTTAACCATCCGTCAAGTATCTTTTTCTCTCTACGTCCAATATTTTGAGAACGAATAAACAAAAGTATTCAAAGAAAATGTTTCTAAAGATATGATTTTCAAATGTTCTTATAATTGTTCTTTATGAAGAACTACAGCAGCGGTGTATAATCATCAAATGTTTAGAGCTTAGAAAGAGACCATTCAGCCCCATCATGTCCAGTAGGCAAGAACAACTTAGCTCATGCTGCTTCAATGTTTTTTCTAAGTAGTGCTACAATTCTTTTTCTGTGCAGAGAAAAGCCATAATTGAATCTCCCTCCACCACATTTTCAGTCAGCGCCTTCCAGTTCCTAACCAAAAAGACTTTGTTTTTGTCTTTAGTTTCCCCTTCGAATCCTGGGTATTTCAAGTTAATCTTAGAGCGTTGACAGCTCAATTGCTGATCAAAAGGACCACCATTGTATTAAAGAAATAAATATAACCTTTTGAAATTGTTAACACAGGTTGCTATGGGATGACAAGTGCTGCATTTTACAAAGTTCAAAACATGCTTGAATACATGTCATCCGACAGTCAGCATATGATAACATGGAAGATGCAGCACATTAATATTTTCGAGCATTTCATTTTTTAAAATACAATTAATTTCAAACATTTCCAATTTTTCTTTTTGGCCAATATCCATGATAGAAGCGCACATGCGAAATTGATTTTTTTCCCATCCTAGTTCTATTTTCAGCAGCTGAGGTGGCATAGATTGTGGGCCAATTGCTTTAAAGCTTCAAGCGTATATCTAGATGAGCCCAGAGCAGACTGGGACTTTAAGCTAACCTGCTTTCAAGATTAAGCCTCAAAGTTTGTGAATATTCTCTATCAGAGGAACTGCAACCGACCCTGAGGTAATGGAACAGGAATTTTGCAGGAATAGGTACATCTCAAGTTCATTGCTCCTCACAATGAAGTGATTTTCTTTTTCGCCAATTTATAGCTTTCAATTGGGCCAGTTGGTCAAACCATTGTATTAAGGATTCTGTGCATGTGTGCCTGTGTGTTGGCTGTAGCTTCCAGCAGTGATTTCCTTTGAGACTGCATACGGTGCAAAGAGAAATGCTAGAAATGGAGACACAGTGGGAATGAAAAGGGTTACAACCTCTGATGTACAAGCAGCACTCAGTAAGGCAAACTCCACTTTGTTTCAACAGTGAGCCAGTTGGTAGCACATGGTGAATCACAAGGTTCTCAATTCAGGTTCCACTCCAGGGCTTGAATCCAATAATCAAGGTTGACATGACAGTGCAGTACTGAGGAGCACTCAACCATCTGAAGTGCTGTCTTCTGGATGGGATGTTAAACCAACGCTCCATCTGCCTGCTTGGGTGGTTATTTAAAGACTCAATAGCACAATTTCAGAGTCGAGGAGTTATCCCTGGTAATCTGGCTGAAGCTTATCATTCAGTCAACAACACACAACAAAAAAAAACACGGATTAGCTGGTCATTACCATGTTTTTGTTTGTGAGATTTTACTGAGTGCAGTTTAGCTGCTTGCATCTTCTATGTAACCACAGTGAGCACACTTCAAACAGGAAACCCATTGGCTGTCAAGCACTTTGAGATGTTTGTGGACATGAAATGTGTGATAGCTTTAGTACTTTAGAGATCCAGCTTTGATTTCGTAAAAAGAGACATGTTTTTCTTGCAATAATCAACACTTTGTGAAAGTCATAGCCTTCAGTTTCCACAACTGGGTAAACAGAAGGGGCTTATGTTTATATGCCTTTCAGGACATCCCAAAGCATTTTAGAATCAAAGATTTCAAGTGTAGTCACTGCTGTAATGAACAAATGCAGTAGCCAACTTGTGCATAGCAAGATACCCCACCCTAAACCACCAATCCCAAGACTAATCCCCTAAATAACCTCACAAGCCAAATCTGCCCTGACAGCTCCTTAGTCAATCCCCCCACCTGACCTCCACACCTGACCTACCCCGTGCACTTAACCCCCTGTCACCTTACAACTTGGCAGCCAACCCCTCACCCACCTGGCACCCAACCCCTCACCCACCTGGCACCTGGAGGCCTCACACATCTAGCGTTCTATTCTCTGTTAAGGACAGCGATAAAAGGACACTAAATGAAGACATTGCCAGCATAACCCACATTCTGTTAATGAATACGAGCAAAACGTGTTTATTGAAATGACAACAATGTAACATTGTTCAGGACCTTTACATCTTGAAATACAACAGGAATTGTTGTAAAAAGGAGCCATGATTCCAACAATGATCCAATTCATTGGAGTGGCAGGTAGAGTTTAATTTAGATAAATGTGAGGTGCTGCATTTTGGAAAGGCAATTTAGGGCAGAATTTATACATTTAATGGTAAGGTCCTGGGAAGTGTTACTGAACGAAGAGACCTTGGAGTGCAGGTAGATAGGTAGTGAAGAAGGAGTTTGGTACGCTTACCTTTATTGATCAGTGCATTGACTATAGGAGTTGGGAGATCATGTTGCAGCTGTATAGGACATTGGTTAGGCCACTTTTGGAATACTGCATGTAATTCTGGTCTCCCTGCTATAGGAAGGATGCTGTGAAACTCAAAAGGGTTCAGAAAAGATTGACAAGGATGTTGCCAGGGTTGGAGGGTTTGAGCTATAGGGAGAGGGTGAATAGGCTGGGGCTGTTTTCTCTGGAGTGTTGGAGGCTGAGGGGTAACCTTGTCGAGGGTGGAGGAATCCAAAACTAGAGGGCATAGGTTTAAGGCGAGAGGAGAAACATTTAAAAGGGACCTAAGGGGCAACAGAGGGTGATGCGTGTATGGAAGGGGCTGCCAGAAGAAGTGGTGGAGACCGGTACAATTACAACATATAAAAGGCATCTGAATAGGTATTTGAATAGGAAGGGTTTAGAGGAATATGGGCCAAATGTTGGCAAATGGGACTAGGTTAATTTAGAATATCTGGTTGACATGGACAAGTTGGATTGAAGGGTCTGTTTCTGTGCTGTACATCTTCATGACTCTATGATTCTATGACATTGCTGGCTGTGTGTGGTTTCCTGACCTGGAATAGACTGTTTCAGCTAGGCAGGCTCCTATCCTCGACCAGACTAGATGAGAAACAGATTTCCAATCCTGAACAGAATATTTGTGCCTGACTGAGCAATTCAGCAAAGTGGAAGCAAGACTGAATGAGTATTAAAACTGATTACCCTGGCCCATGCTATAAGGAGCCCTGTTTACTTGGGCCTATGGTGCTATCAGATTGAGAGATACTACAATGAAAACATATGACTCGGGATAGAATGTGAGCATACCTCTAAAGAGACAGCCATCTGAGCACTTCATAGTATTTTCTTCTGGGGATTATAACCAGATCAGTACAGAAGGAAGAAATAAAATGGAAAACAAAATGCCCAAAGAACTGCAGATGTTGGAAATCAGAAGCAAAAAAACAAAGTGCTGGAAAAACTCAGCAGGTCAGGCAACATCTGTGGAGGGAAAGCAGAGTTAACATTTCATGTCCAGTGACCCTTCTCCAGAACTAGATTGGAGTTTTTTCAGAAATAGAATGGACTTGTGTTTAGATGGGACCTTTCATTAGCACAGACATCCAAAACTGAGGAAGTAGTTTTGAAGTGTAATCACTATTATATTGTAGGAAACTCAGCAGTCAGTTTGCATGCAGCAAGATCCCACAGACTGCAATGCATTAATGACTACATAATTGTGTTTTTTCATTGATTTTAACTAGAGGTTAGACGCTAGGGATAAACCGCAGCTTTTCAAAATAATTGGGCTATTGGATCTTTTTCCATCACCTCATGAGACAGATGGCCCCTCAGTTTAACAATTTATCTGAAAGATGACACCTGTAATAATGCCATCACCTTGATCTGCACATTTGATTGACTCTCTGTGAAACAACTGCAGGCATTACAGCCTCAATAAACTTCCAAATCTTCATCCAAAAAAATGCTGATTCATCAGTAATTTGGCAATCACAATTAGAGACCACTGGATAGCTGTTGTGGTGATGGAAAAGCACAGAACAGCAACTGGATGCTTCAACAAGGCGGTTTAGCGACAGGGGATTTGACTGCTACACTTGAATTGGGAATTGTACATTCAGAGAGTGGCAATATTCCAGGGTACTGCCATTTAACACACTTCTGTTACAACATGAAAAACATTAATCATGTATAAAAGAAGATCAATCAACTAATGTCATACAAACTAGAGTCATACAGTCTTTATGGTACACAATGAGGCTGTTCAGCCCATCAAGTCCATGTCACCTCTCTGCAGAACAATCCAGTCAGTCTCATTTTCCTGTTCTATCCCCACATCCCTTCTAAAGTGCCATCCAAATTCCTTTCAAAATCACTGATTGCATTTGATTCCACCACTGTCAAAGGCAGCAGGTTCCAGATCCAGGTCCAGCCATGGGCCTATTGAATGGCCTACCCCTACTCCTACCTTCCATATTTCTATGCTCTGTCATTCATTGTGATCATGGCTACTCATCATGTTCAATACCATCATCCTGCCCAACCCCATATTCCTTTAGCCACAAGAGCTATATCTACCTCCTTCTTGAAGTCACATAATGTTTTGGCCTCAACCATTCCGCAGGCTCACCAGTCTCTGGGTGAAGAAATTTCAGGAGTAGATTCACCAAGTAGAATTTCAAGAAAATTAATGATGTGCAAGAATGAACTGAAAAAAATCATAGAAAGGACAGTCATGAATAAAGGATCTTGAAGGAGTGCCAGCACCAATGGAACTAACTCTGTAAAATGAATGCTTTCACTAGAAGAGGAGGGTGGTGAGTGGGAAAAGTCAGATTAACATGTGTGGCATGGTGGCTCAGTGGTTAGCACTGCTGCCTCACAGTGCCAGGGACCTGGGTTCGATTCTAGCCTTGGGTGATTGTCTGTGTGGAGTTCTCTCTGAGTCTGCGTGAGTTTCCTCCTAGAATCCAAAGATGTACAGGTTAGGAAATTCACCAATGATCTTCTGACAGCATCTTCCAAATCCACAACCACTTCCATCCAGAAGGACAAGGGCAGCAGATACGTGGGAACACCATCAGCTGCAAGTTCCCTTCCAAGCCACTCACCATCCTGACTTGGAAATATTTTGCCATTCCTTCACTGTTGCTGAGTCAGACTCATGGAATTCCCTCCATCAGGGCATTGTGGGTCTACTTACAACAAATGGGCTGCAGCAGTTCAAGAAGGCAGCCCACCACCACCTTCTCAAGGGCATCTAGGAATTGGCAATAAAAGTGCTGGCCAGCCAATGATGACCACATCCCACAAGTGAATAATAAAAAAAGGTCAACTGGCTATGCTAATTTGTCCGTAGTGACTAGGAATGTACAGGCTAGGTGGATTAGCTATAGTAAATGCAGGATAGGGTATAGGGCTGGGACTGGGTGGGATGCTGTTTGGAGGGTTGGTGCAGACTCGATGGGTCTTTCTTTCTGTTTCTGTACTCTAAGGATTCTACAAAAATAGATAAAATACCCCTTAATCCAACCAGTTTAGAAGACTGAGATTTAAAAAACTTCCAATGATTTATGACATGAGGAAGACATGGTAATCTAGTAATCCAGAAATACTGGCAAATGCTTTGGTAACATTGGTTCAAATCTCACCACAGCAGCTGGTGGAATTTCAATTCAATTAATAAATCTGGAATTAAATGCTAGTGGTCACCATGAAATCATTGTCATAAAAAAACACTCATCTGGTTTTTAATGTCCTTTAAGGAAGGAAATCTGCACTCCTTACCTGGTCTGGCCTATATGTGACCTCAGATGCACAACAAGTGGTTGATGCTTAACCACCCTCTGAAATGGCTGAGCAAGCCTCACATTTCAAGAAAAATTAGCAATATGTGCTGGCCTTGTCTGTGAGACTACATCTCATGGAAGAAAACAAACCATGCTCATGTCTATTTTCTGCACCCTGTTTTCCCCAGAGCAGGTAACTAGTCCAAGAAGCACCATTCTACATCAAGCATGTCTGATCAGTTCTCTCTCTTGCACCAACTGCCTGACACAGGTAGATTACAAGCATTTGTTGCTTAATAATCAACCTGTTTGACTACACTATCAATGCATCTTGGTGGCCAGCAGGTAACTGGAGTGGGATTTGAACCTAGGCTGATCTGGTTCATGGGTAGGGAGCTCTACACACAACTCCACAAGATCTTCTCTCATCTAGGAAGCTGAAATTCCCTGCCTCTAATCTGTAACTTTATTTTTTTTCCCCAACAGACAGTGCTGGCTGAAGATCACGTCTCCACGATTCAGAGCTTGGAACAAGCTCTGAGGCTGAGGGACAGCTCAGTTCAGATACTCAACGAGCAGCTCCAGGCCAAAAATGAGCAAATTATCCAGCTGAGCCCAACACACAGAAGTCCTTACGGTATTGTGTCATTGCCCATCTGTTCATAGAGGCCTTAACTTGTAGCTAAAACAACAGTGGGTTCCAGAGAATAGGGCAGGCAGGCTTAAGGAATAATATGTATTTAATAGTAGCTGAATATAAGAGGCATCAAACCACTGATGGCAAAGATTACATGTTTCATATTCTGAAGGATAAAGAAGAAGCTCTCATCTTTTTTTAGGAGAAGGTTGAGGAGTGACCTAATGAGGATTTTTAAACTTAGGAAAAGTTTTGATAAAATAGACAGAGAGAGAGTTTGCAACTGTGGGGAAGAGGATAACTAGAGGCCAACAATATAAAAATTGTCAGCAAACAATCCAATCAGGAACTCAGAAGAAAACTCAGTACCCAGAGAGTATTGAGAATGTAGAACTAACTGCAGCAAACAGTAGCTACAGAAAGGTTTGCATTTATAAAATGCTTTCCATGACAAGCAAATGTCTCAAAGTGCTTTCTAGTCAATGACATACTTTGAAGTGTAGTCACTGTTATATTGTAGGCAACACAGCAGCCAAATTGTGCACAGCAAGCTCCCACAGACAGCAACATAATAGTGACTAAATACACTGTCTTTGCAATGTTGATTGAGGGATAAATGTTGGCTAGGACACCAGGATAACTCACCTGCCATTCCTCAAAATAGTGTCACAGAATTCTTTTGCATTGGCTTAAGCAAGCAAATAGGACCTTGGCTTAAGGTCTCACTCAAAAGGCAGCATCTCGGAGGGTTCAGCACTCTTCCTCAGTACTGCACTGGAGTGTGTTCAAGTCCAGGATTGAAACCTTGTCACTCAGAGCTGAGATTTACAGTTGAGGTTATTGCATCGTGCTATTTGAGGGGGGTTTGATAAGTGTGTGAGGGAGAAAATAACAAAGGGTTTTGCTGATGGAGTTCAATAGGGAAGAAAGGAAGGAGGTAAGATGAAGCACTAACACCAGCATGACGTGTTAGGCTGAACAGCCTGTTTCTGTGATGTATATTCTACACATTTCTATATTAACCTTATGTTCCAAGATGCCTTTATACACATCATGCTGTACAACTTTTGTTTAGTATTTTCCAATTTTTAATATTGGGGTGTTCGCAGATTCAGACAGGATACATGGAGGGCAATTGACAACACGCACTGTTTGGCCATTTCCAAGTTGTAACTTACAGTTAGGCTCTGCAATAACTTTGAGGCCCATTTTACCGTATCGTGCATCTTTCAGCAAGGGTGGCTTGTGATGAAGGAAAGACCGCCATTGCCTCCTTTAACAGATGTAATATTCCATGTTGACCAGCAGGGTCTCAAATTGGCCTGTGCTGAGCTCATTTGGGTACAATGTTAACCTACTCTGCCAAAGGGAAACTGAACAAATCACACCCAGCATCGAATACCTCATTCTCATTTCCTCCTTGTTAATATTAGTCCTCCCCTGCATATGACACTCCAGGATACTCATCCATTGTTGACCACAGCTTCAGCAGTCTGTTCCCCAAAGCTGAGTCATTTCTTCTTTAAATCTCTCGGCCTCTCTATCTCTCTTTCCTTCTATATGACACTCCTTAAAGTCTACCTTTTTGACTGAGCTGATGGTCAGCTGTCCAAATTAGTTTTACCAAACTAAGAGCGCTATATAAGTAGAACTTGATCCTGTTGGTATTATGACAGGTCAAAAGCTTGACTTTTAACCTGATCTGTTTGGTTCTCAAGTATATTGAAGTCAGCTATCAATAGATTTTTGAATTCGGTGGGAATTGAGGGATATTGGGTTAGTGTGGGAAACTGGAGTTAAGATCAGCCATGATCTTATTGGATGGTGAAGCAGGTTCAAGGAACCAAGTAGTGTAATCCTGCTTCTGTCTCTCATACCTTTTATGGTTTTTTTTTCTCCAGTGAACAGGTTTAAGTTAAAATTACCCCTCAACTCAGATCTGATGTGGGACCTGACAGTTAGCCTCAATACCTCTGGGTTAAGGAGAGCAATAAAGATCAATTGAGGTGATCACTCCTGAATCCTTGCCTCAACTGTAACAGATGCACCGCAGCAACACACCAGGGCTCCCTCAACAGCATCTTCCAAACCCGTGACCTCTTCCACCTAGAGGGAGAAGTGTAGCAGCAAATGCATGAGGGCACCACCACCTGCAAGGAGTAAGTTCCCCACCAAGCCACACTCCATTCTGATTTTGAGTTATATCGCCTTTCCCTCACTGTCACTGGATTCTAGAACTGAACCCCTAAGGGATCTTTGCAGCATCTTTCACCATTAAGATTGACGCAAAATATTGGTTTAGTTTAGTTGCCATTTCCTCCTTCCCTTTACAAATTCCTCAATTGCATTCTCCATGAACCCCACACTTACATTAGCTACTCGCTCTCTTTTTATGTACTTGTAGAAACTCTTGCTGTTGTTTTTAACATTCTGTGCAAATTTACTTCCATAATTAATTCTCTCCCAGTTTATTAGTTTTTCAGTCATCTGCTGTAGCTTCCTAAAATATCCCCGATCTTCTGCCATACCACTTGTTTTCACCACTTTGTATACATTAGTTTTTGATTGGCTACTCTCTTTGACCTTCTTTGTTAACTACAGATAGTTTGTCCTTCTCAATGAGTGCTTCCTTTTGATCAGAATAAATGTTTGCTCAGCATTATTGTCTGCTCACCATCGACTTTCCCTGAGCCTTTTGTCCCAGCTTGCTTCAGAAAACTCTTTCTTCCTACCTCTGTAATTGCCCCTATTTACTTTGAGGATATTGGTTTGAGACGTGAATACCCCTCCCTCAAACTGAAGTTCTAAGTTATGATTACCACTCTCTAGAGGATCCTTATTTACGAGATCTCTCATAAATCCTACCTCATTACGCATTACTACATCCAAAATAGCCTGTTACCTGATAGATTATCCAACATTCGGGTGGCACAGTGGCACAGTGGTTAGTACTGCTGCCTCACAGTGCCAGGGACCCGGGTTTGATTCCAGCCTCGGGTGACTGTCTGTGTGGAGTTTGCACATTCTCCCCGTGTCTGCGTGGGTTTCCTCTGGGTGCTCCGGTTTCCTCCCACAGTCCAAAGATGTGCAGGTTAGGTGGATTGGCCATGCTAAATTGCCCATAGTGTTCAGGGAGGTGTAGATTAGGTGGGTTATAGGGGGATGGGTCTTGGTGGGATGCTCTGAGAGTTGGTGTGGACTTGTTGGGCCGAAGGGCCTGTTTCCACATTGTAGGGATTCTATGAACATTCTGCTCTAAGAAACAGTCCCTGATGCACTTGACAAATTTGTCATTGATGTTACCTTTGCCCAGTCAATATGCAGATTAAAATTATCTGTGACAATTGCAGTGACCTTCTTAAATTGTCTCCCTTTTTCTACTTTATCAAGCCATATTCATATATTGCTATTTGTGCCATCAACTCACCTATCTTGTTAAAAATGATGTATGCCTTCATGGACAAAGCCTTAAGCTTCGACCTTTTCACTATGATTTCTTACTCTGGTCCTAATTTCTGCTACATTTTTCTGCATGCGATTTTTGCCCCTTCCTGTTTCAGTTTGATTATTATTTGCCTCTTCACTACCCTGCACATCTACTTTCTTCTTTCTTTTATGAAATTGTCGGAAATGAAAACAGAAGATGGAGGAAACCCTCAGCAATATCTCTACAGATATAGAAATAGAGTTAATATAGTTAACAATAGAGTTTAAGACATTCAGTTGTTAGTTTTAAATCTGAGACGGATACTTTTTTTGTTAAGCAGAGGTATTAAGGGATGTGGGCCAAAGGCAGATACATGGGGTTAGGCCACAAATCAACCGTGATCTCATTGAATGGTAGAATAGGCTTGAGGGGCTGAATGGCCTACTCCTGTGTAACTTTTAAGATCAATTTATAGCCCAAGTAATTTATACCATCTAGAGAATCCACATGTCGCTTAGTGTCTTCATAATTAGCTTTGAATGATTGGTGTCCCTCCATAGTGTGTTCGCTTGTGCATTGAGCCTGATGACCATGTTGCAGGGTTGGAAAGTCCCAGACACCAGCAGAACTGCAGGATGCTCGATCCCCAGATCGATGAGCTGGAAGTTCAGAGGTTGCAGGAGAAGGTGGCTGAACTCCAGAGGAAGCTGCACAGTTGCCAGTGGCGGGAGAGACAGTACAAAGAGGAGTGCGACCGCTTACAGTCTCAGCTGAGCCAGCAGAGTCTACAGGAGAGTTGTGCTCAGGTCAGTGAGGAAGAGCAAGCAGCTTTCTTTTAAGAAAGTTGAGCTGAGAGTTTCTCTCATTTGAAGAACTCAGTCAAATAGACCACATACTGTGGGGATGGAGTTACAATAGGTTTAAAGCCCAGTTGTGCTGGGTAAAGCTAACAATGCAGGTGGAATCAGCACCTTGGGATTGCAGAACTTCCTCACTGATGGTGTTTTTCTTATTTCAAAAATATACCTTATTCATAAAAAATATCTTTGGAAGTATACATAGTCATGAACACGTTTGGTTCTGTACGGTAGCATATGAGGAAACAAGCAAACATTGGAGTTTGACTTTATCCAACAAACAAACTAAAGGCATCTTTTATTTGTATATGACCATATTTACATGGATTTGGGGCACCGGGAGGGTCCAATAACTGAACGGACCCCCATTTACCTTTGGCTAGACTCCTGTGAAAGCACAATATTTTAAGCACAAAGTTTATATAGCCAATGGTACAAAGCACGAAGCTTTTATAGCCATTTTAAATATGGTCAATGATATTTTTAACGCAGTTTGCAATGCACTGAAACAAGCATAATATATAGTGACTTCAACGAAAAAAAATTGTGCATATGTTGCATTCTGTCGTTGCACTTTCCCTTTCTCCCGTGCTCATAGAAACATAAACGATATGAGCAGGAGGAGGCCATTCAGCCCTTGGAGCCTGCTCTGCCATTCTTCACGATCACATCCAACTCAACAGCCTAATCCTGCCTTCTCCCCATAACCTTTGATCTCATTCACCCCAAGTGCTGTATCTAGTCGCAAATTGAATGCATTCAATGTCTTGATCATTGCATGTACAATTCTGTCGTGTTTCAAAGTGCTGAGACTGTGTAGCAGCAGCGGCGGTTGACACCCTCATGGATTCACACAACAGGCAGTGGTTGAAAGAGGAGCCGCACTGCACCATACCTGGAAACCCCCGAGTCATTGTCCCATGCAGAAGTTGATCTAGATCGAGGGAATACTGATAAATTGACATGATTGTTTTCTTCCTTTCTTTTCGGTTGTTTAAATCTTCATTGTCTCTCCCTCCCTCCTCCCTGTCCCAGGAGCCAAGCCATGACGCCCATGACATGGAGTGGATAAAGAACACAGAAGAAGAACAGTAAGTGTTTAATCAGAATGCCTCTCATTGGTACTTCTCCTCTGTGATCTGCTTTTCTTAGTTTATGTAATTTTTCCTCTCTCGTGTCCTTTCTTTATTCGTACTTGGGGGGTGAGTTCTATTGCCAAGGCGAGTATTTATTGTCCATGGAATCATTCTTGCACCCATGATTTGACAGAGGTGTACAACTGTATTCACCTTGGCAGTAAGTCACAGGGGGCTATTGAACCTGAGGGACATCACAGCCAAAACTGTTCATGATCAAGGGGCAGACTGACAACTCTGTAGAAGGTAACAATTGGGTCAATGTCCATTTTTTTTCTTTTCAATAAATTCTCAGACAAGCAAATTCTCTGACTATTTTTTGCCCCACCCCTGGTTATCAGCAATTTGATACAGCTGCTCTATTAGAGCCCCTTTTCAGTAGGAAATTCATGTTACTAGTCAGACAGCATTTGGAGAAGGATAGAATTGGAGCCAATCTTTACTCAGTCTCATGCTTATTACCAGAATTAATCATTGCTAGCATACACTTCCTAACCCACCTGAGTTTCATTAAGTTTCTTGTTGTAGATATGTTTAATCAGTTTGATCAGAGTTTTTATGACTCACCTCTGGAGTGGTTGTAACTTGAACCCAGGCTTCCTGGCGCAGAGGTAAAAGAGCACCAGTGTGTTTATTATATGTATTCAAGTAAATCATCAGTTCACAGCAGCTACATTGGTGTGTGACTGGATTTGCATAAAGGTGAGACTGAGAAAGGATTACAGCCTTTTCCCCTAAATGGTATCAATGAACAAATTGGGTTCTTATGGCAATGCAGCAAGGATTGTGATCACTTTTTCCAGAAACGAGACTGTTTATTTTCGGTAGTTTTAAACCACATAGTAGGATTTGAACTCTCACAATACTGTGGACTACTAATCCAGTAACACTACAACTGCTCCATTGAACCTGAATCCACACATTTACATCCCAATGATGGCCATTGAGCATTGTTCCTCAGCTGTTTTTATTGTATTCTCACCTGATCCAAATGCAGGCGACTTCACTGCAGTCATTGACGCCCATCCTTGCCCAATGCCCAGCTCTAACCATTAGCAATATAATACGCAAAGTAAACATAGAGACCATACCATGCCAACTGCCATTTATAGCCACCCAAACCATCAGAATATGCTTCAACATGTATATAAACTCAGAAAGGTTTTTCTATGAAATACTTGGCTGTTTGTCTTATATCGTACACTTCTTATTGAATAGTATTCCACCCACTTAAGAATTCAGTTAAACTGGAAATCCTTGAGTTGATAACAAGACAGAGGGTGCTGTTTCTGGATTTAGAGTACTGTAAAGTTTTGGACCCCTTACTTGAGGAGTTGCATTGGAGGCAATTCAGGGAAGGTCATTAGATTAATTCCAGAGATGTAAGATTTGTTTGATGAGGCAAGATTGAGCAGTATATGTCTATTCTTGCTTGAACTTAGAAGAATGAGACGAGATTTAATTGAGATAATACAAGATGCTAAAAGGATTGACGAAGCAGATGGAGACCAGATGTTTCCCTTGGGCAATCTAAAACGAGAGGTTATAGTTTTAGGATAAGCGGTAGCAGATTGAAAACAGAACAGAGGAGGAATTACTTTTCTCAAAATGTTGCAAATCTGTGGAATTCACTACCTCAGAGTGCGGTGGACACCATGACACTGAATAGATTTAAGGAGGAGATTTTTAATTAATAACACAGGTAGTACTCCTATAACACAATAGTTGCGTACTTGAATGACCTTGTGCTATAGAAAATTGCATTATAGGGAAATTGCTATACCTGTATGGTAGAAAGTTCACATTATCCAAACAGTGTCCACTATTCATCAATTGCGTTACAGCCAATTCGTGTTGACGAAACGTGGATTATAGCAGAAATACTTGTAGCTTAAAGGGTTATGGACAGTGGGCAGGGAAGTGGAATTGAGGTTGAGATGAGATCAGCCATGACCGTATTAAAAAGCAGCACAGGTTTGTGGGGCTGAATCGCCTGCTCCAGCTCCTAGTTAGACCAGAAGATGTAGGAGCAGAATTAGGTCATTCGGCCCATTGAGTCTGCTCTACCATTCAATCATAGCTGATATATTTGTCAACTCCATTCTCCTGCCTTCTCCATGTAACCCTTAATCCCCATACTAATCGAGAATCTATATGTCTTAAAGACATTTAATGAGGGACAACTTTTTCACATAGAGGGTGGTGCATATATGGAATGAACTGTCAGAGGAAATGGATGATACAGGTACAGTCACAACAGTTAAAAGACATTTAGACAGGTACATGAGTAAGAAAGGTTTCGAAGGATATGGGCCAAACACAGGCACATGGGACTAGTTCAGTTTGGGAAACCTGGTTGGCATGTACGGTTTATACAGAAGGGTCTGTTTCTGTGCTATATGACTCTGTGATTCTATGATTCCATGATTCTATGACTTGGCCTCTGCAGTCTTCTATGGCAATGAGTTCTTACGTAAGAGGGTCAGAGTGGTCTGCCCTTATCCAAATGGCATCCCACCTCCCATCCCTCCTCACCCTCCCCTCTTATTCCTGGGCACAACGACTGAGTGAGTGAGGCCACTTGGCTGACACTCCAAAGATAGCTCTACGAGGAAGGACTGGGGGAATAAGCAGTCAGTGTGAAGAAAACCTGTTCAGGAATCCCACTGTGATGATGCAGAGTGCCTGTCATTAGCATTCCCTGCAGCGCTCACTCATTAGAGCAAAATGTTCTCAGGAATGAACTCATCAGCAACCACCCACTCCAAATCTCTACTGCTTCAAATCTCTGCAACAGTCTGGAGGGATACCTGGGAACTTGGCTTTATTTCACCCAATCAGCCTTTACTGCCCTCATGTGCTCGTTCAGCTTTCCCTTATTCTGTGTACCACATCTTGTGGCAGTGACTTGCACATTTTCACCAATCTCCATGTAAAGAAACTCCTCTTGATTTCTATTTATCAATGACTTTCTTACGTTTATCGCTTCTCATTCTAATCTCCTCTCCTTATCCTGTTGAACCCTTGCAGAATTTTTCAGATAACCCATCCATCTTTTCTTGCCCAGGGAAAACTGCCAAAGAGTCTGTTTCCATGCTATATGACTATGATTTTACCCAGTCTTTTCTGAAAGTCTCTCAATTCTGCTAATGCCCTTCTAACTTATTTCTGCTCCATCTGCAGTACCTTTATATCTTTTCTTGGTATGAAGACTCGAATGGTACGATGTATTCCCAAAGACTACAATAACAAGCAGCTTGATGAACAGAAGGATGAAATGTTATCTTTAGAATTTTGAGTGATGGGAACCCAGATTAGGCAGGAAACTCCCCCAGGTTTCCTCCCACAATCCAAAGTTGTGCAGGTTAGGTGAATTGGCCACGCTAAACTCCCCATAGTGTCTAGAGATCTGCACGCTAGGTGGGTAGTCGTGGGAAATGCAGGGTTACAGGGATAGGGAGAGGTCTGGGTGGGATGCTGTTCAAAGGGTCGGTGCAGACTCGATGGGCTGAATGGCCTCTTTCTGCACTGTAGGGATTTTATGATTCTATGACTGTTAGGACTGACTGTTCGGATTCCCTGAGAGACATATTCAGAGCAAATTTCAGCACCAAAGACCCAATGTTGATCCAGCAATCCCCACCATTTTTTTTGGTTAAAGTTTAACTCCAGGAACAGTGATATAGGATGGCAAGAGACACGTGAACAAATACAAATCATTTACATTGTGTGTTTTAGTATCGGTGCACTCTATTTGTGAAGAGGAGGCCCATTGGCCACAAGGTTCTGATTGGAATCTGTATTCAAATCCCAGACACACACAGCCACGGCTGGGCTGAGCTGTGAGCAAGGGAAAAGGACAGGGAAGTTTGCAATAATTGAGGTGGGAGGAAGTGTGTAAGGTTTGAACTGACAGTCTCGTGTTCCATGCCAGCTATAAGAAATAGGTGTTGGTCATTGTGCTTCAATAGTCTGTTCAAGAGAAAATCATGGCCAATCTGATCTTGCCCTTGACGCTTTTTTCTCACGCTATCTTAACTCTCAGTATTTTCCTCCATGTGGAACCCAGGCGGATAATCAATTCTTCTTCAAAACATTGATTTCATCTTTCAATGTCTTTGACAACCTCAGGATGTCGAAATGCGTTTTACAGCCGATGACCTTGGTTCGAAGTGTGGTCGCTGTCATGATGTAGGAAAAGCAGCAGCTGATGTGGGAACAGCAAGATCCCACCAACAGCCATGTGATGAATAACCGGATAATCTGTTTTGGTAACGTTGGCTCAGAGATCAATAACGGTCAGGCCACCGCGGCCCACTGTTCTTCCAAAGAGTGAAGTTCACCTGAACAGGTGGACATGGTTTGGGTTTAACATCTTACCCAAAAGACTAACAGAAATTGCTGGAAAATCTCATCAGGTCTGGCAGCATCTGTGCCAAGAAAGCAGAATTAACGTTTCAGGTCTGGTGACCTAGTTAAACTGGAAAGTGTGCAAAGAAAATTTACGAGGATGTTGCCAGCACTAGTAGGCCTGAGTTATAGGGAGAGGTTGGCCAGGATAGGACTTTATTCCTTGGATGAAAGAGATTGAGGGGTGACCTTACTGAGGTGTATAAAATCATGAGGGGCATATTTAGTATGAATGGATATCGTCTTTTTCACAGGGATAGGGAATTGAAAACTAGAGGGCATAGGTTAAAGGTGAGAGGGGATAGATTTAAGAAGGACCTGAGGAGCAACTTCTTCACACAGAGAGTGGTGCATATATGGAATGGGCTTCCAGAGAAAGTGGTACAATAGCAAAATTTAAAAAACATTTGTATAGGTACATGGATGGGAAGGGTTTAGAGGGATATAGACCAAATGCGGGCAAATGGAACTAGCTGAGTGGGTACCATGGTGAGCATGGTCCAGTTTGGGCCGAAAGGCCTGTTTCTATGCTGTATTATTCTAGT